GGACAAGGGAAGAACAGGCAAGATTGCCTCAGGCACCAGTAACCCCGCCTTCCCCAGCACAGCAACCTCAGGCAGGAGGACCTCGGGTAATTAATGTAATTCACTCGAAGGTCAACGAAAACGAGATTCGGGGGGAGACCTAGAAGGTAAAACACCTACAGCATGTCTACCAAGTCGGGGAGAAGAGACACCGGGCAGAAGAGTGCCAAGGACCAGTAGTGTCCTTTACTGAAGCCGCCCTTGAGATGGTGCAGGATCCACATAACAATGCCTTGGTAGTATCCCTCCAGGTTGGGGAATGCCAAGTGAAGCGCATCTTAATTGACAAAGCAACTCTTGTGACATCATGTACATCAAATGTTACAAGGAGCTTGGCCTTCACCCAGACGATATAGAGCAATCTAATAGCCCAATGGTTGGGTTCAATGGAACGCCGACATGGCCACTGGAAACGACGAGCTTGGAGGTGCAGGCTGGCACCAAGAAGATAAAGACAGAGTTCACCATAATCGATACACCCTCCCCTTACAATATCATCTTGGGAAGGCCGTTGTTGCATGCGATGGGGGCTGTTCCCTCAACATTGCATCAACTATTGCGGTTCCCAACAGAACATGGGATAGAGGAGATCAGAGGAGATTAGCTGCAGGCAAAGAATTGCTCCATGACAGCAATGAAATCCACCTGCAACATACGAGAACCAGAGAAGGCAGGGATCGAAGGCGAGGACGTGGAGGTCCTAGAGGATGTCGGCAAGGAGCCAGCCGAGAAGAGTGAAGAAACACTGAAGAAAATCCTCGTCTAGGAAGGGGATGAAGAACGCTTCTTTCTTCTCGGTTCGGGCTTAACTGAAGAGGAGGAAAAAGAGTTGGAAGCTTTTTTGAGAGCAAATATTGAGGTGTTTGCTTGGACGCCTTACGAAATGCCTGGCATTGACACCGAAGTCACTTGCCATAAACTGAATGTTGATAGGTCGGCAAAACCAGTAATCCAACGAGCAAGAAGACCGACATTGATACACGTCGAAGCAGTGGAAGAGGAAGTAAACAGACTTCTAGAGGCCAGGGCCATTCGAGAGGTAAATTACCCGACATGGCTATCAAACACAGTGGTGGTGAAGAAAAAGAATGGTAAATAGAGGGTTTGCGTGGACTTTACCAGCTTGAACAAGGCCTGTCCCAAAGACAGTTTTCCTCTACCCAAGATTGACCAGCTGGTAGACGCCACTTCGGGGCATGGAAGGATGAGCTTCCTGGATGCCTACAGGGGATACCATCAGATAGCCATGCATCCCCCAGATGAGGAGAAAACTGCGTTTATCACCCTAAAAGGTCTGTACTACTACAGAGTGATGCCTTTTAGGTTGAAAAATGCAGGAGCAACTTACCAAAGACTGGTAACCAAGATGTTCAAACACCTGATTGGCGGAACGGTGGAAGTTTACATCGATGACATGGTCGTGAAGACCAAGGAACCTAAAGGTCATCAGGCCGACCTGAAAGTAGTCTTTGACATCCTTAAAACATATCGGCTCCGACTCAATGCAGCGAAGTGTGCATTTGGAGTGGGATCTGGTAAGTTTTTGGGATACCTGGTGACTAAAAGGGGCATTGAGGCCAGCCCAGATCAGATTAAGGCCATCCTGGAATTAAAGAGCCCAACGTCGACAAAACAAGTACAAATATTGACTGGAAGGGTCGCAGCCCTGAATAGGTTCATAAGCAGAAACTCAGACAAGTGCAAACCTTTCTTCAACTTAGTGAAAAAAAACCACAGATTTTTTATGGGCAGAAGAATGTGAGGTCGCCCTGGCCGACTTGAAGAAGTATTTGACCACAGCTCCAGTTCTTTCAAATCCAGAACCTGGGGAGGAGTTGTTTTTATACTTAGCAGTCTTAGAACACGCAGTAAGCATAGTGGTAATCCGAGAAGAAAAAGGAGAGCAAAGGGCTGTTTACTATGTAAGCAAAACCCTGGCCGATGCAGAAACAAGGTATCTACCCTTAGAGAAATTGGCACTGGCTTTAGTAATGGCTTCAAAGAAACTAAACCATTACTTTCAGGCCCATAAATTGCGGTGCTAACTGAACACCCCTTGAAGTCCTTGCTGCAACAAGGAGACCTGGCAGGAAGAATAGCCAGATGGGCAATGGCCTTGGGACAGTATGACTTGGAGTACAGACCCAGAACATCAATCAAAGGCCAAGTTTTGGCAGACTGCGTGGCCGAGTTCACACCAGAATCCATCGCATATCGGGCTCCGTTAAACCGAGGTGAACGATGTCCAAGCAAGCAAGGAGAATCCCAGCCGAATGCAACAGAACAATGGAAAAAGGAAAAACTCAGACCCTGCAGCATTTACATCAGTGACTCCTTTCGACTGTTTGTCAATGGGAGCTCAAACCGACAAAGAGCAGGGGTAGGAGTAGTACTGGTATCTCCAGATGGACAGATAGTGGAACAGTCCATTTGTTTGGGATTCAAGGCCTCAGACAATGAAGCAGAGTATGAAGCATTGATTGCAAGACTGAAACTAGCAGTAGCAGCTAAAGTAGATGAAGTAATAGTCTTCTGCGACTCCCAGCTCATAGTCAACCAGACAACTGGCGAGTTTGCAGCCCGTGGATGAAAGGATGTTGGCCTACGCAAAAGAGGTCAATAGGCTGGTGGCCTTGTTTCAGAATTACCGACTACATCAGGTTAGCCGAGATGATAACAGTTACGCTAATGCACTGGTCAACTTGGCTAGTGCAATACAACCTGGAAAAGCAAGGATAATAATGGTCGACTACTTATCGGGCCCGAGCATCGAATCACTAACCACAGAGCGTGAAGCAATGTGTGTGGACATGGGACCAAGCTGGATGGATGTAATTATTGCATTCCTGAAAAAAGGAAAGCTGCCAGATAACCACAAGGAGGCACACAAGATCAAATTGAAGTCGGCAAGATTCAGTCTAACAGCAGAAGGACATCTTTATAGAAGATCCTTCACTGGACCCCTTTTAAGGTGTGTACATCCCTCACAAGTTGAAGATTTTTTATATGAAATACATGAAGGAGATTGTGGATGCCACGCTGGGGGCAGATCACTTGCCCATAGGGCCATTACGCAGGGGTATTGGTGACCCTACATGTAGAGAGATGCAGAAGCCTATATGAAAAAGTGTGTAAAGTGCCAAAGGTTTGCACCTCTGATACACCAACCAGCAGCAGATCTGAACCCAGTATCCCGTCCTTGGCCGTTTGCCCAATGGGGCATGGATCTCGTTGGGCAACTGCCCCAAGCAACTGGACAAAGGAAATACCTGCTGGTAGCAACAGATTACTTCACCAAGTGGATAGAAGCTGAGCCCCTAGCCAAGATTCGAGATGTGGACGTGAAGAACTTCATATGGAGGAACATCATCACTAGATTTGGGATTCCGAGAGCAATAGTTGCTGACAATGGAACACAATTTGATAGTAAGATAATCAAGAGCTTCTGTATAAAGTTCAAAATCAAGAATTACTTTTCTACCCCAAGTTTTCCTCAGAGCAATGGACAAGCAGAAGCATCAAACAAAGTCATCTTGGATGGGATTAAAAAGAGGTTGCAAGCAGCAAAGGGAAAATGGGTGGATGAACTGCCAAGTGTACTTTAGGCATATCGGACTACGCAGAGAAGATTAACAGGGGAATCCCCCTTTGCCATGGCCTATGGCATAGAAGCTATCATTCCACTGGAGGTCGGCATACCAGGGATCAGAACCCAGGGAGTAGAGAACGGGACTATTGATGTACTCTTAGCCCGAGACCTGGATCTACTGGAAGAAAGAAGGGAGAGAGCTGCAATTCAGCTAGTAGCATACCAGCAGCAGCTTGCCAAGGCTTACAATAAAAGGGTTAACCCAAGGGAGTTCCAAGTCGGCGACCTAGTCTTGAGAAAAGTCATCGGCAACAAGAAGGATCCCAGAGAGGGCAAGCTTGGCCCAAATTGGAAAGGACCCTACAGAATCACTTCGATATTGGGCAATGGGGCATATCGACTTGAGGATAATGAGGGCAAAGAGTTGCCAAGACCCTGGAATACTTGTAATCTGAAATTTTTCTATCATTAGATTTTCCTTGTTTTTTGCCAATGTAATGAATAAAATTTTAGCATAATTCTTCTACATTTATGACTGATAAGATACTTGTCGATGTTTCAAGAATACATGCGTAATGAGAACCCAAGTGGAACTTAAGTTCACATTAGGGGGCAGAGAGTTGGAAAGCGGTTCTAACACTTATTGAAACTTGAGAAAAGTTTACAAGTTGAAGTTAAACCGAGATTATGTTTAACACTTGTTGAAACTTAAAAAGTTTACAAGTTGAAGTTAAACCGAGATTTAAACTTGAGAAAAGTTTACAAGTTGGAGTTAAACCGAGATTATGTTTAACACTTGTTGAAACTTAAAAAGTTTACAAGTTGAAGGTAAACCGAGATTATGTTTAACACTTGTTGAAACTTGAGAAAAGTTTACAAGTTGAAGTTAAACCGAGATTATGTTTAACACTTGTTGAAACTTAAAAAGTTTACAAATTGAAGTTAAACCGAGATTATGTTTAACGCTTGTTGAAACCTAGAAAGTTTACAAGTTGAAGTTAGACTGAGGTTAAACACTTGTTGAAATTTTATGAAAAATTTACAAGCTGAAACCAAGGTTATGCTAACAAAGGTACTTGGGTACTTGCCGAGGTAAATCATCAGTTTGTATAACCGAGGTGTGTCACCCCAAGAAGGTTACACAAAGATTAAAGTATATATTCAAGATATGAAAAACATTCTAAGTATGGAATCATACAAGGATAGTAAAGAGAAGGCGAATATACAAACGTTCAAAACAAAGAAGTTGTATTTATAAGAAGGTACTTCGGCCATATGAAGAGCTTACACTGTTTCAAAAGAAAGACAAAAGTACAGAGCACAGAAGAAAAAGAAAAACATAAAATTAAGATTCTTCAGCATCATTAGCAGGCTAGGTTTGGACTTCGGAGGATTGTTGAGAAGACATCTCGGCAGCCTTCTTAGCCGCAAGCTCGGCATCAATTTCTTGAAGGGTTAGATCGAGGCTCCTTTCGGCAAGAGGCATGTCCGATAACGGCTTCTCAGGAGTGGCATCCTTGGGGACTTCCTCACCCTTCTCATCTTGAGTCAAGTCCAGGACTTGCTCGTTCAGAGAAAGGGACTTGGTCCCAGCAGCCTCCTTTGATTTCCTCACCAAGGTCTCCTCCTCAGACTCAGATTCGTCGACGGATTGAGTTGGAGTCGGAGGGAATGGAAAAGGAATGATGTCGGCGTTCCTGAGGGGCGAGTCCTCGGGGACTTCAATTTTTTTTAGAAGAGACATCCAACCCAGGGTGAAACCCTTGTTGCATGCCTGCTTCACTTGCTTTTCATAGTCTGCCGTGACATCGGCCACCCCCTCGTTATAGCCCTTCTCATCGGCGGCCTTGACTTCAGTCTCTTTTGTGGCCAGGGCTTCTTGAAGTTCCTTCTTGGCCTGGGTCATCTTTTCTTCGGCCTCTCTCTTTTCAGACTCAAGAACCTTCTTAATGGCCTCGGCAGATTCTGCGTTTTCTTTGGCGACATTTTGGGCCTTAATAGCAGCCTCGGCTTGATCTTCCAAGGTCTTCATCTTGGATTGCAAGCTTTTATTGGCCTTTTGCAGACTGGCAACTTCTCTCTTCTTATCGGCCAATTCTTTCCGGTTCTCAAAGGATTGTATTGAGAAGGAATGAGCATGCTGGATGGCCTGAAAATGAACAAGACAAAAGTTATTAGAAAATTTTCTAAGTACAAGAAAGAAAGAAAAATGACCAAATAAAGACACTCACTTGGACAGAGCGCTGGAGCATCAGAGCATAGTTTTCATATTCGCTCAACTTGGCGTTCTGGTCGAAATCGCCAAGAAGGAGTAGAGCGGTACTAAGGGCAACGCAGACGTTTATGTCATCGGCACTATCGCTAGCCCTAACTGGCTTATCCTCCAGTGTGATTTGGAGGGCCCAGGGGGGCATCGTGCTTCAGAGACCCCGAGGTGGTTGTATCGGATGACCTTGGCCTCTTTGATCGAGTAGATTCGGATGGTTGGCCCTCGGCAGGCCTCTTCTCGGTGGCAGAATGGGACTTGTCGCTCTTAGCCAATTTGGAGATTGGCAAGGTATCCTAAGTATCAACCTGAGTCACCTTTGCCTTTGGCTGGGCCTTCTTAATTATTTTTTGCTTTTGCCTTGGCTGAGGCTGGGTTTGTGCTGGCTGAACGTCAACGTCGGTAGGGATGCTGGCTAAGAGATCTTTGGCAATTGCTTTTTGGCGGCCCATTTTAGCAACAAAAACTGTTCGGCGTCGCCGACGGCGCTGGGATATCGGGATCAGATATGGAGCCGAGGTAGATGGTTGCTCAGCTGGATCAGAGGTTGATCCTTGATATGGCCAAGATGAGGAGGCAGCTTGAGGAGTTATGGCAGAAGGCGGAGACAAACTCTTCTTCTTCTTCTTGGGGGTGTCGGAAAGAGCTGACTTGTAGGTAGGAATGAAATTGAGTAGAAGAGAGGCCTTCCGTTTGTGAACTGGCAGATCCAGTAACTTCTTCAAGTCTTTATTGGGAAAGAAGGACTGGCGGAAGCCCTTTGGTGGCTTAGGAAGAGCTGCAAGAAAAACAGACATTAGAGTGAACAAAGTATTGAAGACTTTAAAACAAACAAGTTAATATGAACACAGGGCTCTTACCATTGCCCTCTACAAAAACTGTTCTAGGAAGAGGGTAAAGATGGAGGTCCTCATCTGGAGCGAACTCCCAGTTCCCCGAGGTAATAAAGTAATCGTCTCCAGCTCCCTTGTTGGAGTCTGGGAGGTCGGCTACGATTTTGTACTCTATAGATCTCGGCTTGAGGTAGTAAACGTAGCCCCTATCTTTTTTGAGGCCACACATGGTGTAGCAAAACTGGATATCGGCTAAGGTAACCCTAACGTTTTCTTGTTTGGCTAAGGCTATGATGCTGTTAATGACTCGGTAGGAGTTGATGGCAAGCTGCATTGGGTTCAACTTATAATAATGAATGATCTCACGAAAAAGAATATTGAGTGGGAGCCGAAGTCCGCACACGATGAAAGCTACAACAAGAAGGGGCATGGAATCAGCTGTGGGCATGATAGAGTCATCCTCCCCAGCCAACCCCAGATAAACGTCGGTTGGGATGTCAAACTCCTGCCTAAAGTGCTCTAATTTGCTCGAGGTATCTACCCTATGCTTCCACATACCCATAACGACGGCCTGAATCAGAAGAGCTGGACTTCAGAAAAAAAAGGGGCTTTAAGAAAGGGTTATTAGGACTTCGGCAAAAACCTAAAGTATGTGCTGGATAAGAATTTGTGGAAATAGTTTCAGTTTTTCCTAAAAATCGTGGGTTCTACAAGCAAATCCCAAACCTAGATCTATGGAAACGAAGATCAAAGGCACGAATCTGGAAAAGTCACAAGAAAACAAAAACAGGTAATACGATTCAGAGTCAAGAACAGTGAAGGACCACCAAGAAACACAAGACAGGTGTAACAGGCCAAGAACAGTGGCAACAGTCAACAAATGTGCGAACAGTATGTATTCGAGAATGAATGAGGCAAAAACAGAATCACAGAACAAACATGTGGTAGAAAACAAGATACAAGATGAAGCATCAAAGATATGAACAAGATTGCAGAACAGTAGAGTTCAACAAAGCAAAATAAAAAAACTAAAAAACAAGAAGGAACGGTGACTTACCAGCAGAAAGAAGCCGGTGTTGAGTTCGCCGAGATCAGGCGACGGCAGCGAACGGGAAATATCAGCAAGAGCCTCGTCGAAGAAGGTGAACAGCAGTAACAAAGCTTGAAGAATATAGAGCAAATGGCAGATTTTGAAAAAAAGAACTAAAGAGAGGAAAAACTTGGGGCTTGAACAAAGATGAAAAAGTGAAAAGACGAATTATTTTTTGTTAAACGCAGAAAAGGCGGCAAAAAGGTCATTAATGTACCTTAAAAAAAAAAAACGTATGTGTCAGACGACGCACACAGGCGCGGGACGACTTACAAGCGCGTACGGAGTATGATCCAGTAAAAGGAAGACGCGTGGCTGAAACGGTTGAGTTATTTTGCATGACAGCTCATGCGCGTGAAGGAGATCTTGGAATCTTTAAACCTTAAAGAGACATGTCGGCCTATATGATGATCTCGGCTGAGAGACTTTAAACCGATGTATTGATAGGAAGTTCTGGTATAGGTTCCATCGCCTGAGAATGTCGAGGTGACAGAACCTAGGGGCAGTTGTGGGGATATATTCTTTGAGTACCAACATGTGGCCAAGGTGACACCGACGTATCAGCCGAGGTGCCACGTGTCCTGGTCATGACGTCGAGGTGATCTCGGTAAGGCCGAGGTTATCTCCGAAGATATCGAAATTCGAGATAAGCGGATAAGGCACAAGAGTCCTAGAATGATGAGGGGACTCAGCCTAGATAAAGATAAAGCCCTTAGGGAGTTTATCTCTATCTATGGAAGAGTCCTGGATAAGCACTAAGCTAAAGTCCATTAAAGCTAGGCTTCTGTTGGGACAAGGATTGAGTTAACTATAAAAGAAAGGCACCCCCGATGGGTCTAAGGTACGCAATTTATATTCTGAACAGTGAGTTTAGCACTATTGATTATCTTTGAGAGATATACTGACTTGATCGTCGGAGTGCCCCCGGGTGGACGAACTACCGCTGGAATCTTCTCTTTCTGTTGCAGGTCAGACAGGTGCCATCTATTCTGCCAGTGCTCTCCAACTGAATACTGAGTTGGCAATGTGATCGAAAATTCACGCACACAATTTGGCACCGTCTGTGGGAAAGAAAGGAGAATAGATGGCCAACAATGGACAAAAGGATATGGTTGGGGACGAAATCCCTACTGGGAGTGGAAAACATGTTGACCCAAACGTGGAGGAAGATGGTCACAATGAGGAGACTCAGAACCAGAATCACGGCAAGAAAGACGTTGGCCAGGATGGCGATGTGCCAAAGAAACCAGATCGAAGCGGATATTATAACGAGGTCAACCTCCAGGTATGGAAGGATAGATGCCTGCGGAGGGACGAAGAGGTGAAAAAGATGGCAAATAAGTGAGCAGACTTGCAATCGATCGTCAATTTTATGATGCAAAATAACGTCATGTAACCACCATTCCCACTGCAGGACACGCCGATTCCAGCGGCCAATGCCCAGAAGGGAGGGCAGAAACCAATCCCAATAGCCCCTCAGCATACCAGGAGTGAAAAACACTCTCACTGACCTTCAAGGGAGGTCGGGCGAGGAGAGTCGAGAAGGGAAGGATCGAGGAGAACGCATCACACCAAGGAAGCAGACCCCAGAGAACATCGGCATGTTCAAAGGCAGGAGCCATGTTTCGACACAACTCATGGAGAAAGGTCAAAAGGAGCTCACAACGAAACTGAGAGCAGTGCACCTGAAAGACTGAAATCAGGAGATAGCTGAGCTCCTGGGCGGACAAAGGAGGACTTGAGAGATTACCTCAAGAGGAAGCAACAGAATGCCGATGCCGAGGTAACCTCCCTAATAAGCCGAGAACACCCTTCTCAGTGGAATTGGACAAATTTGAGGCGCCGAAGAGATTCAGTATGACGAGGTTCCAAATATACGATGGTAAGTCAGACCCCAACTTCCACGTTGGATTATACTTAAACTCAATGGCATTGTATAATGGGAACGAGCCGTTGCTCTGCAAAGTGTTCCCCTCATCGTTCGGGGAGATTGCATCAGATTGGTTTCACAAACTACCGAAGGGAAACGTGAAGACCTGGGAAGGCCTGGCCGAGATATTTGTGGCCAGGTTCGTGACAAACAAGCTGCAGCCATTAAGGGTTGATGCATTGATGGCTCTGAAGATCAGTAAGGATGAAGGCCTTAGGGCCTATGCAAAAAGGTACTATGAGGTGTTCAACCGAATACCAGAGTGTAATCAAGAGGTGGCGATCGTATCTTTCAAGAACGGCCTAAAAGACTACTGTCCACTACGAAAATCTTTGGCAAAGACATTGCCAAAAAGCATGGAAGAGCTCATGGCAAGAATCGAGAAGTATGCCAGAGCTGAGGAAGATACATCGGGGACTAAAGAGACAAAGCAAGAAAAAGGAAACGGCTCGCCGAAGCGAGGCCGAGGTAACAATGGATCCAGCAAGCAAGAGATAGGACTAAGGGCTACTCAGGCAGTTACGACTGTGTTCCGAATCCCAATTCACAAAGTCCTGGATAAGATTCGGAACCAACCCTATTTCAGAGCGCCAGCGAGGGCACCATGAGAGTTTATGGAAAGAAACATCGGCAGACATTGTGCTTACCACAATGAAGATGGGCACATGACTCAGGGTTGTAGAGCCCTGAAAACACACTTAGAAGACCTGATGAGGCAAGGCCATCTGAGAGACCTTGTCGATGAGACCAGGACAAGAGAAGAACAGGCAAGATTGCCTCAGGCACCAGCAGCCCCGCCTCCCCCAGCACAGCAACCTCAGGCAGGAGGACCTCGGGTAATTAATGTAATTCACTCGAAGGTTAACGAAAACGAGATTCGGGGGGAAACCCAGAAGGTAAAACACCTAAAGCATGTCTACCAAGTCGGGGAGAAGAGACACCGGGCAGAAGAGTGCCAAGGACCAGTAGTGTCCTTTACTGAAGCCGACCTTGAGATGGTGCAGCATCCACATAACGATGCCTTGGTAGTATCCCTCCAGGTTAGGGAATGCCAAGTGAAGCGCATCTTAATCGACCAAGGCAACTCTTGTGACATCATGTACGTCAGATGTTACAAGGAGCTTGGCCTTCACCCAGACGATATGGAGTAATCCAATAGCCCATTGGTTGGGTTCAATGGAACGCCGACATGGCCACTGGGAATGACGAGCTTGGAGGTGCAGGCTGGCACCAAGAAGATAAAGACAGAGTTCACCATAATCGACACACCCTCCCCTTACAATATCATCTTGGGA